CCTCCTTTAGGTGTGTTTGCGGAAAACGCCAAATGTCTCCAGTGTTGAAAAGGTTAAGGATAGGTTTGGACCCAGAGCTTTTCCACCCATCCCATTAGCATTGCTCTCCTATTAATAACAAAGGCAGAAGTGTACATGGCCCAGGTGATGTGCAGAGAATTGCATTGCCCTGGGTTAAACACCTGCAACTGTGTACACTTTAGCTCCTTCCAGTAAATTGTGAAACTCAAAAGAATTAAAATAAAAAGCCCTTCTATATTAAGAGGAAAAATAGCAGGTTGCTGACAAGCCCATGTGGTATGTGCTGTCTCCGAAGGACATGCACGGACTGGGTGTAGGAATCGAGCAATAGCTAAAAATGCTTTTTGTCTAGATCTGGTTTACACCCCATCTGTTTACTCCACCATTGCTGCGCTCTCTCACAGCCGGAAGGTGAGACAGTCTGAGCTCAAACCTCGCTGTAGTCCCCGCTGATGGCGCTCAGTGCTCACCAAACATACCTAATAATTATCTCCTTTATCGTTGCCAATAGTGTTACGGGATCTTTAATGCCCACTTGAATAACAAATAGACAGGACCTTGGTATAATGTCTTATTTAAAAAAGATAACAACAATTTAGTCGCTCAATCCAGGACTCTTTGCGGGACACTGCTGTGTGCAATTGGTTGCTGCGTTTCGCTCACAAAACATACAGTCACTACACTTTACTGTTTATTCTTTCAGACGTCTCAAAGATGTGATAAGGCACTATATCAAATGCAAGGATTATTATTATTATGTCTTGTCTGAAAGCAGTCATCATGATTAACTGCGGACGGAAGATGTCTTCAGATGGGATGATGAAGAAAGGGTTAAGTCTCATCCGTCTAATGACTGCCCTCAATCATGGCTTTAATCTGCTATTCTGAGAGGAACTGTACACATTCTCTGACAAGCTTACTGCTCAGATTGTTATTGTCTGAGCAAAATTAATCCATGCTTCTGGCAGGGAGTTCCCCCCACTCTGCCTGATCCGGCCTCTGCTCAGCTTTAAATGTCATGGGAAAGAGATTTTCACAAATTAGCCCAAATTTCTGTTTGACGTTCCTGATCGGCTTCTTATCCGGGCAGTCATGCTGCAAGTATCTGCATTGTACAAGACTGACCAATGCTCAAGTTAGCTAATAATAATGTGGTCCCTCAATCTACGACTGTTTGTGGGGACGTTGCTGTGCGCAATTGGCTGCCGCGTTTCGCCCCAAAAATATACAGTCGATTAACTTTACAGTCTATTCTGTGAAGCGCTTTGAGACGTCTGGAAGACGTGATAAGGCGCTATATTCAAAGGCAAGGATTATTATTACTAAAACCCGACTAAGTTCTTGCTAAGAATCCCTCTCAAACTGTGGATGGAAGCTTCCTGCAGCTGTTCCCAAGCACACGGCCACTAAGTTGTCCTCTTTTATTTAGAAACTTTGCACTTTTTGATCATAGGTCTGACAGAATTGGGAAAGCAAGATATTTGAGAGGGAGAGATACCACATTTAAGGAGGAGAGCATCTATTAGAATAAAATTTCATTTATTATATCACATTGAAAGCTCTCAAAGTGCTAATCAGTTATTTACTGTCAGGGGTAGTGACTGTTTGTCGGAAAAATGCAGCAGCATCCCACATTGAACCATGAGGTGAATGAGTAAATAATCTCTTCTCTTTCCCAATAGTACCTTGGGATCTTTAAGGTTCAGCTGAACACCTGAATCGTGGCACTAGTGGTGATATAAGTATTGAATGTGGAACACAGCCTGAGAAGAGCGAACTAGTAAAATAGAGCACTTGTGTGGTCACCACTTTCGTCAGAGGGTGATGGACTGATTGGGAGTCACAGAACAATGAGGTAACAATATTAATAATAATAATAATCGTTGCATTTGACATAGAGCCTGAACGTGTCGTTGAGACGTCTCAAAGCGCTTTACACGTTATACTGAAAAGTGAATTGACTGCGTATTTTGTGGGCGAAACGTGGCAGCCAATTGCACACAGCAACGTCCCACAAACAGTCGCGGTTGAGTGACAAAATAATTTTTTTTGATGGGATTATTACACCTGGAAAGTGATCCGCCAATCGACTAGCAACCCGATTCCTACATACCGCTAGGGAAACAGAGGTGTGTGGTGTAAGGAAACTTGCCTAAGGTTTCGCCCTGACCTTGAACTCTCTCTGGAGAGCAGTTAGCATGTGTTTCTGAGCCAGGGAACCATCAGCTGTCGACTGAAACATTTTTGAAAGAGCACTGGTGCTCCAAATCCGTTTAATTCCATGTTATCGGGGGAGATGTCACCCATCACAGCTTCACAAACTCACTCTGCACTAATATCTGGCAGTTAACCAACTAATCTGTGCACTAAAGGTCATAATACAGGGGAAAGTCACATGAACCGAGGGTGAATTATGGTTGAATATTGGATGGAAAATGGACAGCTTCTTAAACCATGTTACGCAAAGGAGCAAAGCAATGGAATGGGGCAGTGGACAGTACATTTAATGGTTTTTCATAGGGGACTTGGAGTGTCAGTGCAGCCTACAGGGTAACTATTTCAGACAGGAATGAATTCTTAGTCTATCCAATGTCCCTACAAGAACTCCCAACTGTCTACTGTTGGGTCATTCTGGTCTGATTGAATAGAGTATGGACAGTGCTTCAAGCGCCAGTGACGTGTGTAGAAGAGTTGCTATCTTCATATTGGTGTTAAGCTGTACAGCAAAACTGAGCTCTTTTACAAAGAGTGTATAGTTTTAATGGTTTGATTACATAGTCCAGAAAGGCGGCGATTTGCAGCATGTGTACCTGTTCAATAAGGAAGGTTTAGGTGAGATTCAGGCTGTATTACCTGGATAAGCACAGCTCCCGGTGCCTTTGTTCTCTCTGATCTGTTTGCAGATGGATAGCTGCAGTTGGAGAGTTCCTTACTAGTGTGCTAGCAGAACTCCTACTCGCTCCTTACACAATCTCTTGTTGGATTTGCTGACGTATCATCAGCCGGCACAGATTCCACCTTTCCTGGCTTTGTGTTACTCTGATCAAGCCTCTACATTGCCCAGTATTTCAGTACTTGGTCCCTCTTGTACTGTTCCTCACTCTCTACACAGCCCAAGATGACCAAGACTAAAATATCACTCCTGTATCTGAGGGTTTTACTTCACTTTCACACTCTGCACAGGGTGAAAAAAAAGGGTCATCGCTCACTCCCCTCTCTGGCAGAAGGTTGTGATTCAAGCCCCATTTTAGTTGATAGCCTAGGCTCACCCCACAGCGTGGAAATGGGGGAGCACCACATTGCCCGAGGTGCCGTCATTTGGGCAAAACATTAAACTGAGGTCCAGTTTGCCTGTTCAGGTGGACGTTCAAATCTCGTGAAACTCTCAAAGTTCTTCACAGTGTCCTGGCCAACAATCCTCCAGATAATTTGGTCATTCACTTACTAGTAGTTTGTAGTAATTTGCTGGCTCGTATGGCTGCAGAATTTGCCAATAAAATCAGTCCTTACAATTGGCAGTAATTACTTGTGAGGTGTTTTTAGATGTTTTTAACATGAAGTGAACTAGATATTAATTTTTTTTTGGTGAAAGATAGAGAATTGCAAGACTAAAAAGACACCACAACGACTTGTTCCGAAGCAGTCATCATCAAAACCCCATTTTATTGATATCAAAACCACCAGAAAAGCTGAGAAACATTAGTGCAACTTGCTCCATAAGTGTCTGAAACCTGCTTTTCAACCGTTGTCCGAAAAAAAGTATAAATAACAATGTAAAAACAAAAGCAGAGAGTTGCCCATTAACCCTAACCCAGGAGCAATGGCCTGTAACTGTCAGGAGACATTTCAGGAGGATCTACGATTTTGTTATACACAGATGATAAATAACTTAAATACATTTTTAAGATTTATTTCCCTACAAGCTGTACACATGAGGTAGAAAAATAATTTTTACTTACTTTCCCTTAGAGCATCAACAGATAAATTAATAAAGCAAAGCCCTAATATTGGTACTGTTTTCATCCCACATGTTGGATTGGTTCCGTTAGTCGAGCTGGGCGCTGGAGGGGACACATAGCGAGGAGCTGGATTGGCAGCTCAGGAGATTTCACCTCGTAAGCGGGCAGGGGAACAATCATTCCACCTTGAAAGTTGGGGCCTGGGCGGGGAGCCTGGAACCGACAACTTGCTCTTTCCTCTTTATTTTCCACGGGAACCCAAGCACCGCCTCAGAGTCGAGACCAGTAAGCACAGTTTGGAAGCATTGCATTTCTATTTAAAATAACGCGTTCGTCAGCAGAAAGTCTTGTGTTTAGCGCATGTTTTAGAGACATAGACAGAGAGAGTGTGAGCCAGAGTCGCCTGATGTTAACTGTTACAAGTTGCCGAATAAAAACACCATCTTTACAGACACATTAAGTTCATTGCGTCATGTACCTCATGTCATGTACCTGGAAAAGGAGCAGTGGGTGTATCTCAGAGAAGGTTTGTTGATGAAATTGCCAAGGCAGCAGGAATACTGTCGATTCAGTTAGTGAACTGACTGGTGTCAGGCACATCATGATTCTAATCCACAATCCAATATACCTTAAACACAGGCCACTGTGTCCGTCTCACCATCCACACTCAGGCCAGGCTATTGGTCTGAGCTACAGTCTACAGTGTTAGTGGAAACACATTCAGGTCCAGTTTAGTTTAAAAAATAAACGTTTAAGCTTCTTACAAGAATCTGTGAAAAAAAAGGTAGACATGGATATTTACATTATAAACATGCACCAACTACCAATACGTTAGATATCCTCCCATTTCAAAAAGAGACCACAAACCACCGGTGTCCCTCCAACGCTCTCTCACAGACAATGTTAGAAGCTGTGACACCAGATCTCTGAATTGCCTGGGGAGTTGATGGGTCTCATATACGTGCAGTTGGATTGTTACAGGTGGATGAGGCTGTAGTATAGCTCCAGGTGTCTGTCTGTCGCTCTGAACGCTACCCTACATGAGGGGCGCTAGATAAATGCAAGTTCTTGTGGTCTGTAGCGTCAATGTGAGCCTTGGGTCTGACTGCAGTAATGGCTTCCTGATCCAAACCTGCCCTGGGGTTGGTGCACCAAGTTCTCTCAGTCTACCCGGTCAATTTCCCACGGGAACTTCTGTAGAGCAGTGTGGATGGACCTGGATTCGCCAAGCTGAAGCAATTCTCAATCGATAACCAGCCTTTTGTGTTCATGTCAATCATGTCTTCACTGGAGAGTCCAGAAGCTGAATCCTGAATTCCAATGCATTTCCCCTCTGGAATTCTACAATGCACTGCAGCCACTTGTTGTGGGAATACACAAAGCAAAGATGTTTGCAGCTTTCTTCCTCTCGTTCTGTCTATCTACCGTCCTTCCTTCTTGGCCTCACTCTCTCCCTCCCTCCCCCCAGCTGCTCAGTGTTTGCAGGTATAGATCTCTTCCCTTTGAGAGCATTGCTGACACTCCACATAACAACACCACTGAACCTGGCAGTGACAGGCTTTGGTTACCAGGAGGCTCTGTGTGTTGTAGCCCTGGCCACAGCACATGCTTTCACAGTTTGTCTCCTTCGAGCAGGTCCTTCCTGCTGTTCCAGGAGAATATTTACTTGGTCGGCAGAAGCTGGGCGAGTCCTCTATGTACACCAGGTCTGTAGTCCTTGGCACGTGGTTCTTTAAGGTGTAACTGTGCCTCTTGGGGCTGATGAGCTCGGTTTCCCCCGTGGCATCGTTGGTGACGCTGTGCACTTTGACAGCAGCTTCATATTTCAGCTTGAGGAGGTGGCCCGTCTCGTGAAACGAGGAGAGCTGCTTCCAGCAGGTTCTCACTGCGCATGAGCCAGACACCCCGTGACATTTACATGTGGTCTTCAAGCCAGCCTTGACAGCCTGACACAAGGGAAAACACTGTGAGACGCGTCATACAATTAATTACCCCTTCCCCCATCCGAGACCTCCCCAAATCAGACCACATTTGAAGGAGAGCTCCTCACACAATGTCTAACTGCAATCATCCTTGCATGTGTCAGTCCACATGTTCCATTTGATCAATATACTGTAACAATAGGTTATACCAAATTGTACTTTACTGATAATCAGTTTCTTGCCTCTTTGCCAGGTAGGAACTTAGGAATAGGTCAATCAGCCCCTCGAGCCTGTTCCACCTCACAGCTCACACTATATCACCTTGTAAGTCAATGACTCAATGATACAGTTTTTTCAGGACCTTGAATTCTCCCGCACGGTCCATTGCAGGCAGTCTGCTAGCTTTTGTGTTGGGCAAGGCCCACTTTGAACAGGTACAGCTTTGATAGCTCAGAGTGCAAAGCTTTTCCCAGTCACGGGTGGATTAGGTTAGCTTCAGATCCCCAAGTGATCATCGTCAGGTTTCCTAAAAGCATTGCAGTGCTTCACTCTCATTGTATAAACCTGCTTTATTCCAGCTAATTCCTTATTTGCACTCTCTTGTGCTTAGGTTGTTAATACACTTCAGGCAATGCTTAACAGCTTTGACAAGCTAAGCTCCTCACCCCCAGACTCCCACTGGATCAGTGCTGGTGTGGCTACAAGCAAATAGCAGGAAGGCAGTGGTCACTTCAGCAACTATTGTGATTATTGTACACATTGCCCAACTTTTGTTACGCGCGCAAAATACGCAGCCAATCCTCTTTAGCTCAATGACGTAATAAGGCGCAGTATCAAACGCAAGGGCTATTATTTTTGCTAGATTTTAGCGGGTGCCTTGCCGAATACTTGTGAAATTAATAGCAGGCTCTAATTTGCAGTATTTCTTAATGCCATTCCTTTTTGCAAGGAATCTAGCAAGTGGGTAACAGGAAAGCTATACCTAAGGTATTGGCAACAGGAAGAACGTCACACTGACCCATGGAAACTGGACACAATCCATGACTGGAGCCCAGATGGGAGCTAAGGAATCCTATTGCGGAATTTTGTAAATGAGTCCCGCAAAATAATTGTATTTCACATGTTATTAGTTATTTATAAATGTACATCACTGAATTCACTGCCTGCTGCAGTTTAGCTGCTGAAACACCCTCCTAGAATAGAATGCGATTGCTGAGATCTTTATGCCTGCCACGCCTGTTAGGTTTTGAGAAGTACATTAAGGGTTTGTCTGCAAAATACACAGTCACTACACTTTACAGTGTATTCTGTGAAGCGCTCTGAGACCTATCAATGACCTAATAAGGCGCTACATCAAATGCAAGGATTATTATTATTACTTTGCACGCAAAAGTTCCCTTAAAATCGTTGCATTTCAGCTGACAATAATAATTGGCGTTTCCCCAAATACCTTGCAGAAACCTTGCATTTCCCATGATTTATTGCTCGGTTTGTTGACATCTTCCACAGCCTTTATGAGTACAGTATATTATTAATTACTCATGTCTGAGGATTGTGTTGGGGATGATGTGAGATCAGTACTCCAGACAAGCTCATGCCTGCCAATCCCCACAAGGTGAAATACTGATCTGATCGCAGGCATTTCTGGTGGTGGGAGGGGGTGGGGAAGGAGGAGGGTGGCTGGGTGGTGGAACCCAGAACCTGGCGAAAGAAGACCAAGAACAACAACAACTTGGATTTATATAGCGCCCTCCAGGCCGGACGGCGTCTCAGAGCGCTTTCCACCATCCTGGCAGTCGCTTGACATGTTGTGTCCCAAACGTTTTGCTAAACCCCCATACGAAGATAAGAATTTCCGAGGCGAAACAAGCAACAACAACGTGCATTTATAGATCACCCTTCACACGGGGCAGTCTTGGACTGCTTTGGAATTTGGAAACTGCCAATGGGTATTGGGACTGAGGTGGTCATGCCTCCCAGAGATAGCAGGGCAGTTTGGTTGACCGTACAGTGATTGTGCTGCTGAGAGCCAAGCCTACAATGCCAACGCTACGTTAGTGTGTGAGGCAGCACATAAGTGGCTCACCTTGATGCCCACGTTGGTGTTGTGCATGTCCACCCTTGCCCGCAGGTCTTTGCTGGCCTTCCTCTGGCCCAGGAAGTGTTTGAGGAACTTGATGCTGTACTTGAGGTTGTCCCCGCAGCCGCCCCATTGCCAGGCCTCTCTGTTCTGCAGGTCTGGAGACTCATCGCATGTGCAGCGTTCCATACGGCCCGAGCTGCAGGCCCTGGCCAGCGAGTGGGTCAGGCCAGCGGAGGAGATGGCGAAGAGGAAAGCCGTCTCCTTAAAGCCTGCAGGAGCGGAGGAGGAAGAGATTTACAATAAACAAGCTAATGTTGAACAACATTAATTCCTTCAAAAAATATAATAATAATAATAAATTGGTCACTTCAATCCACGGCTGTTTGTGGGGGACGCTGCTGTGCGCAATTGGCTGCCCACAAAATATAAAGTCAATTCACTTTACAGCATATTCTGTGAAATGCTTTGAGGGGTCTCGAAGATATGATAAGGCGCCATATCAAATGCAAGGATTATTATTATTATTATCTGCAACCCAACCGCACAATCCCAAAGCTTGCGAATTTGAGAAACTTTACCGGAAATGATTATATTTTTACACTTTGGGGGATTTCGTGTTGACTGTTTTTTTGGGTTGAAATTCAAATTAAACGTCAGGTGTGGATTTCATTCGCGTAATTTATTTCCAAATTCTATCCTTAAACTTTCACCAACACAATTCTATCCCTTTACGCATTCGTCTTGTTATAACTACTGCTCAGATTCCGATGGCAAGTCTAGTGCTGGGAGCACCACACTGCCAGTTAAGCCATTATCTGGCACTGGTTCAGTAGATTACAATTCCCTGGTGGGGATTAAATCATTATAATATGATCTCAAAACAGTGTTGAGAAAAGCAGAGAAAACGGATTGTAATTGTCAACAAGAAATTCAATAGCAACGAGACTGTGATACAGTAATAACAGCCTCTAGTCACACACATTGGGGACTGTTTCACCCACAAAATACAGTCAATCCACTTTACAGTAATAGTCTGTGAAGTGCTTTGAGACGTCTGAAAGACGCGATAAGGCACCGCATCAAATGCAAATGATTATCATCATAAACACAAGTTTGAAAGTTTCCGCTTCTTGTGTTTATTTGTTTTTGTTTATTTGCTTTGTTCGGACACTTTAACCCCGAAGCTTAGCTCATCTAATTCCGACTCTAACTTGTTTCCTCGTGAAACAACAATAATCATAATCCTCTCGTCTAACGTTCGCCCAGAAAGCAATACAGCCACTACGCTTTACAGCGAAGCGTTTTGAGGCGCCTCGAAGATGTGGATAAGGCGGTGTATCAAACGCAAGGAATTATTATGATGACTGTGAAGTCAGTCTGGCTGTTGTGAGAGAGATTCTCAGACCCTGACTCTCCTCTTACGTCAATCCCTCGGTTTGAAACCCAACAGGAGGAAATATTACGGGCAAAAAAAAAAGGAACTGATGAAACGGTGCTGTTAGCTCTCCACTCCAGCCCAGCCTTATTTTGACTCACACAACAGCCTTTCCCAGATGAAAGGCGATGCTTGCGTGCAGAGGCTGGGGTCTGAACGCCCTTTTCCTTTGGGAATTCAAACGCCTTTTCCGACCTAAAAATATCCCAGTGATTAGAGAGAGAGAGAGAGAGTGAGTGAGTGAGTGGAAGAGTGAGAGAGGGGGGAGAGAGAGAATCCCAGAAGTCGGGCCAAGGATGACCCAGGCATGAAATTAGAGTGAAGTGAAAGCTGCCGACCCACCAGAAAGCTTTGCACACGTTGGGATTTCAATGCCAATTGCGGGTCCCGATCCACTGAGTTCCACCATCTCTGCTGCTCACCTCACTCAGCGCCCAGGAGCGACCCCCAGGTGTGCCAGTGTGTGAAGATGTGTAGGTGTGTGTGTGTGTGGGGGGGGGGGGGGGGGGGGGGGGGGTGGTGGAAGGGGACCATCTGGATCCTATCCTAAACATTGCAGCCCGATGTACCCAAATACATAACCATTAATAAGCGCGTTAGTTAATTAATTAATCAATCAATCAATCATTAATACGGAAATATGTCCGAAGCTAATCAATGAATGAGTACTGGTAATACACTGAGGTGTAACAGTACTTACTCTCACCAATGTCAGGTCTTACACATTGAACCTGAGTCAAAATAAACCCCAGATTCTGTGTGGGTATCTCTCTCTCTCTCTCTCTTGGACTCTCTCTCCTTGCTCGTGTGTGTGTGTGTGAGACTGTGAGAGTGTGTGTGTGTCTGTCTCTCGGTGACACACGCAATTCATTGTTTAGCAAAAAAAGTTTCTGAAACCAGGAGATTTCGCCTGGGATTTCTATCAGGGTTTCCTCAATCGCTGGCGGAGCGAGAAAGAGAGAGAGAGAGATGGGAGGATGGGGGGTGGGGGGGGATTGGGGAGCAAGAGACAGAGTCACAGTGAGAGAGAGAGACACACACACACACGGGGAGCAAGAGAGAGAGAGAGAGAGAGAACCTGGCGTTCCTTTTCACTCGGGTTCAACGTTTCAAGACTTGGAATGGGTTTGTGTAAAGACACCCGAGTGTGGACCGGTGCGAACTACCCCTTCGCTGATCAGCTCGGGACAGGCACAGCGGTGACAGAGAGCGCCTCCTGTCCGCAGCTCAGTCAGTGACACACACTGTCCCGGGTCAGAATCCACCTGCGCACACCTGTCCCGGGTCTGCCTTCACCTTCCCGGACTGACACCTGGGCCCAGAGCTGCTCTGTTTACAGCCCAAACGGGAAGGCGCTGCTTCTCCATATCTCCCCAGACCAGTTTCCAATTAACTGCTTAATCAACTGTTAATTAAGTTAATTCCAATTGACGCAATTAACTGTTCCGCAAAAACGGTTCTAAAATCGCGAGACAGCGAGCGCACCAAATACACAGTCACTAACACTTTGCAGTAGATGCCGCGAAGCGCTCTGAGACGTCTCGAAGACGGGATAAGCCGCTGTATCAAATGAGGGATTATTATTATTATTATTATTAGACCTATTCTGCGGAAGCAGAGGCGCTAATGCGAATTGGCGGTATTTGAGTTATTAGCAAAGGCTCTGATCTGAACCCAACAGAGAAGTTGCACTTTACTTCTCTCTATAATCTATTTCCCGAGTTTCCTACAGCGAATCCTCTGGTAAACTCTATTAAAAGTTACCTCTCACACACACACCCACCCACACACTCACAGATTCTCTCTCTCTCTCTCTCACACACCTGTGTTGAGGATTACAATTGCATTGTCTCAGCGTTAGAAACCACATGTAACTCGGTAAGATTTTCAAATAATTCTCAGCTGAGATATCTCCTGGACCTCTCCTGCAATTTGAGTGAGTGAGCGTGTGAGCCCTCTCTGCAGCTTTCCACAATTCCCAGTCCTATCCAGGAATATAGACCCTAAATTGTGTATTATTTGGGTCTATTTATAGTGTAATTACAGGCAGCAATATTCCGTCACCTATTGTGTGAGTTTCCGCTGTTTGTTGCCGGGGGGGGGGGGGATAATAATTTAGAAATGTAGGCATTATTAAAATCAAATGATGGTATCCTTAAAATCAAATGATAATAATAATCCTCGCGTTTGAATGCAGTGCCGTATCAGGTCGTTCAGAAGTCTCTTCACAAGATATACTGTCAAGTGGAGTGACTGTGTATCTTAAAGACTGTGTAAATGATAGCATTATTGAAATCCCCCCCATCCCCAGAAAAGTCTCTCCTGGTTAGTACCACCCCACACTCTCTCTCTCCCCCACAGCCACCTCCCCCCTAACCCCCCCCCCCCCCCCCCCCACACACACACACACTCCCTTAACAGGAACCAACAACACTGCGTTTGGCGTTGACTGAAATCCCTCCATTTCTGCCACATTCTGGTAGTTTCCTCCAAATCTCTGCCCTGGAACACGAGTGCCCACAAGACTATGGGGGGGGGGGGGGGGGGGGTTGTTATCCAGGTAATGATTTAGCCATCAGTTTGGGTAGAGATGATACCCCCATTACCATCCTGGCCACCATACCCTCAACCCACACAGAGAGCCAGGGAAATGCCACCTTCCCCACATCATCATCATCGTCAATGGTAATCATTATTCCTTGCATCTGATATGGCGCCTTATCACTATATCAACGCCCTTTCGTTGAGAGACGCTTTAAAGCGCTTCACAGGATACACTGCAAAGTGTAGTGACTGTGCATTTTGTGGGGCGAAACCCACCACATCAACCAATAGTCGCCAGGAAATCGGTGAATCCTTCACTTTCCCCCCAAAACTGGATGGGATTCTGTCTATGGTAGATAGCCCCTTACCCTGTCTGTGTGTGTTTCCCCCCCCACCCCACCTCATTACTGCCACGCTTACCCCTTACCATCTGTGTGCCCTCTTCGCCCCCTTTCCTCTACCCATTACTGCCACACTTACCCCTTAACCTCTGTGTGCCCCCCTCTCTACCCATTACTGCCACACTTACCCCTTACCCTCTGTGTGCCCCCTACCCCTCTCTACCCATTACTGCCACACTTACCCCTTACCCTCTGTGTGCCCCCTACCCCTCTCCTCTACCCATTACTGCCACACTTACCCCTTACCCTCTGTGTGCACCCACCCCCCCCCACCTCTCCTCTACCCATTACTGCCACACTTACCTCTTACCCTCTGTGTGCCCCCTACCCCTCTCTACCATTACTGCCACACTTACCCCTTACCCTTTGTGTACCCCCCCTCTCTACCCATTACTGCCACATTTATCCCTTACCCTCTGTGTGCCCCCTATCCCTCTCCTCTACCCATTACTGCCGAACTTACCCCTTACCCTCTGTGTCCCCCCATCCCCCCTCTCCTCTACCCATTACTGCCACACTTACCCCTTACCCTCTGTGTTACCTCCTCTCTATCCATTACTGCCACACGTACCCCTTAACCTCTGTGTGCCCCCTACCCCTCTCTACCCATTACTGCCACACTTACCCCTTACCCTCTGTGTGCCCCCTACCCCTCTCTACCCATTACTGCCACACTTACCCCTTACCCTCTGCGTGCCCCCTACCCCTCTCTACCCATTACTGCCAACTTACCCCTTACCCTCTGTGCCCTCTCCCCCCCCCTCTCTCTACCCATTACTGCCACACTTACCCCTTACCCTCTGTGTGCCCCCCACCCCTTTCTACCCATTACTGCCACACTTACCCCTTACCCTCTGTGTGCCCCCTACCCCTCTCTACCCATTACTCCCACACTTATCCCTTACCCTCTGTGCCCTCTCCCTCCCACCCCTCTCTCTACCCATTACTGCCACACTTACCCCTTACCCTCTGTGCCCTCTCCCCCCACCCCTCTCTCTACCCATTACTGCCACACTTACCCCTTACCCTCTGTGCCCTCTCCCCCCACCCCTCTCTACCCAATACTCCCACAGTTATCCCTTACCCTCTATGCCCTCTCCCCCCACCCCTCTCTCTACCCATTACTGCCACACTTACCCCGCTTGAGAAGACTGCTCCTGCCCTCGAGGCTGCAGTTCCAGCGCTCTGTCCTGAACTGGTACTGACACTCGATGGCGCTCAGGCGGATGGCATCCCGCAGTCCCTCCGCTAACCCGGGCTCTCTCCGGCACAGCCGCTTCTGTCTGCGGTACAGCTTCAACGTCTCGCACTGTTTCAGGTAAATACTCCCCGGGTCAGAGTCGTGCAGGATCGGGGCGGACAACACAGCCAGAGGCTCCTTGGCAGTCAGTCTGTTCGAGGCAACAACAACAATAATAATAATAATACATATAATGAAGGATTTCTGGGGTATGTAAAGTACAGTAAATAGCAACGCTATCTCTCTCTCCATACAACCGCCAAATGGCTGGTAAAAGACTCAATATATCGTTTAACGGCACTTTTAACGAGTTACTAAACTGTTCAGTTAACTTGTGACTTAGCTTTGAGTCAGTCCTATCGTCATTAGGACATAACGCGTCTGTTAATGTATAACATATTGTTATTATTATCCAGAAATAAATCGAGCCCCAATTACAGCTGAATTAAACCAATTGTAACTCATAACCGGTAACAAAGACATAAGTAAATAAATAAATCTATCTACTTTATGCACTTTTTCTGACTGGGAATCTGGGCAATCACAATCTGCCTAAACAAGGGCACAGTCATGTCAAAGAACTCGCACAAAGACGCTCACTCCCCAGGTTAAAGGGAGAGAGAGAAAAAATACCAATTTGAAGTCGCAAACACTTTAAAACAAGGTGCCGTGGATTGTACACCAACGCGTGGACGCGATTGCATTCCATTTTACACCGAGTACAAAAAGCACAACAGAAAAAAACTATATATATATATATATATATACGCATATATCCACATTATTATCCAGAAATAAATCCAGCTCTTAATTACAGCTCTCAAACGGTAATACACTAATTATAGCTCCGAACCCGTAATATAGTACACACACACACACACACATATATATATACTTTATGTACTTTTCTGTACATAAATGACATCAAGGCAGAGGACAGTAACGAGGCAAAGAGAATACTTTCACATGTCAGTCTCTCTCTCTCTCTCTCTCTGTGAAGATCCTACAATTACTTGTGCACAGAGAGAGAGAGAGAGACAGAGAGAGAGTGTGAACGTGTCGCTACGGGAACAGACCCGAAGTAAGCGGATCCCTGCGTCAGGAAGGCTGCGGTGAGCAGAGCGATCAGACGGCCGGTGCCGACGAGCCTCCGGGAGCGCATTTTGCCCGATCTCTGTCGCTCCTCATCTCGTTTGGCGGTGGCCGTGTCTGTGAGCGCCTCGGCGGGAGGGGGGGAGCGGGGCGGGCGGGGGCGGGGGCGGGGGTGCGGGGCGGGGGCGGGCGGGGGAGCCGGGCGTTAAAGCACCAGCCGCGCATTGGGCGCATTGGCCGCCGGCTCTCTCATTGGCCAGCGATCTGCTTACCCACCGCCCCACCCCCCCCCCCCCCATTGCCTGGCTGGGGTGGGAGGGGGGTGGGGGGCATCTGCACAGGTGTGTAATTCTGCATTCACCTGGGTTCTCACCACCCCGACACACCTGGGAGGTTGGCAGGTTTCTTTCCCAGGCGCTTTGACCACCATTCAGTCATCTGCAGACACGCGATGCAAAAAAAAAAAAGAGACACCACTTTGCCATCGCTGATGATTTTATTTTATATGTTAAAAAAAAGATAATCGCAATAATTTGGTCAGTCCGTCCTCGACCTGCGCGCAATGGTCTGCCGAGTTTCGCCGACCGAAAAACGCACAGTCACTACACTCCACGGTACATTTCGGTGAAGCCTTTTGAGATGTCTCAAAAGATGCGATGAGGCGCTGTATCAAGTGTTGGGATTATTGTTGTTATTGTTATGGCTGAACAATTATCTTTGCACAACCCCACCGCATCGGTACATGTCACCTGTGTATATTTTGTGCAATAATAAAAGTTCAGGTTTTTTTTTCTTGCCTCCGGCCCTTGGTATTAAAATGACTGTTATTTATTTTTTTAAAGAAGAGAATTGCGACATTTAGTGTGATGTGATTATATAAATGGGTGGGGGGGGGGGGTGGGGAGAGGGGAGGATGCAAATGCCCCACTTTTTGGAAACTTTTGTTTCCTTCCAACTAATCTGCTGTAGAATAATCACTTGGGTGTGACAAAGCTTCACCCAGAAATAGTTTCCAGGAGAGAAATCCCACGGCAATGGAATGGTCCGAATGTGAGAGGTGTTTTTATTATCGCTGTGAGTTTTGAAATGTGGCTCTAAATGGTCCTGAGAAATCAATGTCAATGCGGGGTATACATTTCTAACACTTTCATTGTACTTTCACTTCGGTCGAACTCTAAAGCATAAAGGTTTACAGTCTCGGTTTTCATTGTGTTTCTGATTAATTAATCTGTCCACGTTTGTCATCTGATCCCAGAACAATTCCATTCAGTCACCTTTATTGTCAGTTTGTTCTACATAATAGTACTGTACTGTGTCTGTTCTTTTTACTGGGCAGACAAAAGGGCAGTTTATTTTTAATGCATAAACCACCACACGTTTAAATACGTCTCCGTTTACCACACCTCATCATCCTTACCTCAAAACCATCTCTACTCAAACGCACAAAAATCTACAAAGCCTCGTAAAAAGTTATCACGTAATTCACAGGTTACGGGTGACTAGGAATTTGTGCTGCCATAGGTTATAGTAACTATCCACCCTGGGTCACTGTGAGCCAAGGGTCGCAGACAGACTTCTGTAGCCTTAAATATCGATCCTGCAAATCGGATTTGGTGAGGGTGTGTTTTGGGCTGTTTAGCTTTCAGCTTGACCATACTGCCACGGACTGACACACAGAGAGGAGAAGAGACTTAGCGTGGATTCACCTCACAGTAACTACAGTGAGAGACAGATAGAGAGAGAGAGAGAGAGAGAGAGAGGGGGTGGGGGGGGGGGGTGGGGGAGAGAGAGGGAGGGGAGAGAGAAGGAGGGAGGGTGATTTTTAAACTGGCAGGAAACGTGTTTCAGAAATCCTGAAATAGACCCGAGTGATGTGATTCCTGCCCCCCCCCCCTCCTCCCCCCCCTCCTCCCTTCCCCACCCCCCCCCCCCCCGCCTCCCTTCCCCACCCCACCCCCCTCCCCCAGCCCAGTTGTATTTATAGAGTGTAGATTCCCGTGGTCGCTACTAGTATACATCTAATATACATTATTATTAATAATCTATATTATTAATACCCGTGCTGGTATAGCAGCTGGTTTGGGAAGGTACGTGACCAACCAAACGCAAGGATTATTATATTATTCCAATGTGTCACCTTTTTTTTAACCTGACTTGGTACATGTCTTGGACGGGCGGTATTGCGGTAAGGTTACCTGTGGGGGACAGAGGATGGAGCAGCGCCAATGGTCATAGGCTGCACTGGTAGCCACGACAGCAGTCTTCAGTCTTCGGGATCATTGCTGTGATCGCGGGGATCTGCTGTCAATGATACATGTCGCTGGACTGAGTATGTGTCTCGTCTTGGACCAAACAGGTGTGGAATTGTGTCACACGCTCTCTGGAGCTCAGTCCTCTCCACAACCCGTGTTCCCTGCTTCCCAGCCCGACTCGCAGGAGAGCCACCACTCGGGCCAATCCTGCACTCGCCTCCACCTCATGTAGTGTCATTATATCTCACCTCAGTCCACATCTGCTTCGGGGGCAACCTGTTCACTGTCTTCACATCGACCATTTTCAAAAGCGGTCACATCCCCGAAAATGGCCATCGATGTCGAGCAGTGACGGCCACTCCCCGTCCCATTAACCGCACGACTCTATTTGTTCTTTTCCTTTCTCTAGAGATGCTGCCCGACTTTCCCCTTCTCTCTCTGTTTTTGTTTCATTCTTTTTGTGAATTGTCGGCTCTGTTTGCACTGTAACTCGCTGACATTCTCCGGGGATGGGGTGGTGGGGGGATGGTGGTGGTGGTGGTGGTGGTGGGTGGGGGGGGGGGGGGAGGGGGTGAGGCCGCTTCTCACATTATGACATATTTGTGTAAATTAAGACTCTGCATTTCCCTTATTACCGCATTACTCCATCTGGTTAAACCAGCAGCTGTGTGCGATGCTCTCTATGCGGATATCCGATTGGATTAGCGGAACAAATAAGGAGTCCAAACAGAGTGTCCAGAGCCCACTTCCTGAGTGCGACTTGGAGTGGGATAAGGTCGCTCTCTTCGACAATTCTTGTTTACTGATGTAAAAAGGGAGATTTCAAGTGATCACTTGGATGTAATTGGCGGTTCCTTTAGAACAGGAGAGATTTGCTGAAAGCCATGACACCCACCTGCAGTCTGCTACCTGCACCCCCACCCCCCACCCCAGGGCTGACCTCTGCTAAATCAAACTGTTGCGTGTTTATCCATCCGCCCATATGGTCCATGGTCACTGTGAATGGGCCCATAACAGGTGTTTGTTACACGAGAAAAGTTGCTTTGAGATTTTTCTCCTCTTCTCATCCAGTTATGGATTATACTCCCCAACTATCCCCTACTCCACTAATAAGGCGCCTTATGAAATGGAAGGACTATTATTATTATGATTATGATTATTAGACTGATCGCGTTATCAGATGCCGCGTGAAACAGCGAATTCTTACCAAATACAGATTCTGGATGTAATGTTTACTTCCTGCCTCCCCCCCACCCCCACCCCCACCCCCCACCAACCACCACCACTACACACACACACACACACACAATGACATTAACACAAGTGCGTGGCGAGAGATCCCCGCCAGATGAGAATATCTTATAGACTGTACAGTCACAGTGTTTGTCAGATACCTGTCTGCTCCCTTTCCACATCCGGAAATCACTGGAATTAGACATCCGTTGGATGTCTGAGAAGGTCCAGTCCCACGTTCCCTGTGTGCCCCCCCCCCACCCCCCAGCAGTTTCCCCACTCACTGTATAATATAATCTCACTGTAACTCGCTGGACAAGTCAGGTCACCTTTTCTGAAAGCTAACGAGTGAATGTCAGATGGGTTGATGGGGGAGGAAGGCAGCCCAAGACCCCAGTCACCCCTCTCTTCCCCCAGCAGTCGCTCACTAGGTGCTAAATCAACAGACACTTCCTGGCAGCTTAATTTATCATTGCTCCTCGTCATAACAAGCCAGGGAGCTCTCACGATAGCTGGCTCTCTCACCGGGATTAATCCCTCTGAGGATCGTTGGCCTGTCTCCAGGAGGGGGGGTTCAGAGAGTCAAGCTGCCGATGTCCCAGTCACTAAATCGATCAGCCCCAACCGATGCCACAGGTGAGATCTGCTGAACAAAAGCTGTCGGATTCTCCAAGACAAAGTCAGGAGATACCTATATTAAATATAAAACTATGTAATATAGATAGATATATACACACAAACACATATATTATATACTTTAGATAGACACACTGTTATGCACTGTATAATATACTGTATACACAAAGATACATGTACAGTATATAATATATATTGATGTTTAGCTGCTTGTAGCTGATGAATCTCTTACATCAGCAAACGATCTGCATAGAAAATAGTGCTTCCTACACATATTATGTGTGTGTGTGTATATAACAATGTCCGTACATAATATCCTCGGCGTTTCGCTCTCTGGGAAATAAAACGACCCATTTATTGCACATTACTTCTGTAACGGTATGAACCGAGGCGAGGCCGATCATTAAGGGGAGTCGGTTCACGGTTTTACCATCTTGAAAATGACCGTGGCAATGTTCAGCCTTTTACGGGCCATATTAGTCGGTATTAAAGCAGTGAAATCCAATCAGTGTGAGAGGCGCAGGTAGTGTCATCTATTTTCATAGTATAATCTATGTTCAAACTCCGTGTGGAGCTCCTGGTCCGGGACAGGTGCCAACTGTTAATTTACCCCAAACAAACCACCCACCTTCATTGCTGTACACCAGGAACCGATCAAACCACTCAGCTGCCTGTCCCCTCACCCAGAATCATCGCCTCAACATTGTAATGTAATCCGAAGTCAAATTAATTACAGGAAAAAACATAAACAGATCAAGAGGGAGAAAGGTATTACATCGTTCGCTTTGACTTGGAACTCCTGTTGAGTTCACTTGTGGTTTACTGACTGCGAAAGCGAGTGTTTAGAGTGAGTGATTTAAGAGGTGAATTTTCTTTTATTTTTAAAAAAAACACGCACCGATTTTTTGGGGAATAAGGGATGCGATGGGTTTTTTTCGGGGGAGAAGGT